TTCTGTACTTGTTGTTGTTGTTAGCTGCCATTGAGTCCGGACCGACTCATAGCGACGTTATGTACAGCAGAATGAAACACTGCCTGATCCTGGGCCAACCTTACCACTGTTGCCACGCTTGAGTCCATTGATGCTGCCACTTGGCTAATCCATCTCGTTAGGGGTCTTTCTCTTTTACTCTGACCCTCCACCTTACCAAACATGATATCCTTCTCCAGCGACTGATCCCTCCTGACAATATGTCCAAAGTATGAGAGACAAAGTTTGGCCATCTTGGTCTCCAAGGAGCACTCTGGCTGCACTTCTTCCAAAACGGATCTATTGGTTCTTTCTGCTGCACTAGACTTCTTTAAAATGTTGAAGAGCAAAGATGTCAGTTTGAGGACTATGGTGCACCTGACCCAAGCCATGGCTTTTTCAATAGCCTCATATAAATGTGAAAGTTGGACAGTAAATAAGGAAGAACGTAGAAGAACCGATGCATTTGAGTTATGGTGTTGGAGGAGAATATCACAAGTACCTTGGAATACCAAAAGAACAAAGAGATCTGTCTTGGAAGAAGTACAGCCAGAGTGCTCTTTGGAAGTCAGGGTAGCCAAAGTTTACCTCTCATACTTTGGACATATTACCAGGAGGGACCCGTCACTGGAGAAAGACTTCATGATTGGTAAAGTAGGAGGTCGGAGGAAAAGAACAAGACCCCCAATGAGATGGATCAGCACAGCGATGGGCTCAGGCATAGCAATGATTATGAGGATGGTCTAGGACTGAGCAGCATTTCGTGCTGTGGTGCACAGGGTCACTATGAGTAGGTGCGGACTTGATGGCACCTAAAAACAACAATGTACTTATAAATGTTTTTTTTTTCCAATTCTCCGCGTAACCTAAAATGTCAAATTTTGGTGAAAGTGATGTATTCAAATGTTGAGCTGTGTCTTGCATCAAGCGAGTGCCATTGACCATTTCAGAAATGACAGGTGATGTGCACACATGTGAGTAGAGCTGTTGGAGCTCCATGATGGGCCTCAGTTAATTTCCAAAGGGAAGAGAATCACTCCATACACTCCATATAGACATTTCCAGTCACTAACCCAAGCAATCGCAAAAAAAAAAAGAAAAGAAAAAGAATAGGGCTATATTTATTTTCCTGTAATAGTTGTTGAGAAAGATATGTTTCAGAGATACTGGCGTCAGCCTGATTCTGGCCCTCCTGATCAGAGAAGAACTGTTTGGACTAATTAATGGTCCTGTAACACAGAGAAGAGAAAAGACATTTTCAGAAGCCACGTTTCTGAAGCAAAGCTAGGTTAGGCACGGTCATTTTGATGTCTCCCCTCCTGTGTCTTATTCCAGTGATCTGTCCATACTAACCCATCCAGTAGGCTTTGGAAGGGTCTGGAAACCACGTGAATGCCGTGTCCATTACTTTATGACAACCCAAGTCTTCTCGATCAGACTTGTTGGAATTGTAAGAGACTTAAAAAGGTTGATCCATGTCATGCTGACATCTTTGCTCTTCAACACTTTAAAAAGGTCTTGTGCAGCACATTTGCCTAATGCAATACGTCATCTGATCTCTTGACTGCTGCTTCCGCGAATGTTGATAGTTAATCCAAGAAGAATGAAGTCCTTGACAACTTCAATCTTTTCTCCATTGATATGAATTGCTTTCCAGAACTAGTGTGTCAGCAGGGCCATGCTCTAGAGAGGGGTGAGGAACCTTCTTTCTGCCAGGAGCCATTTGTATATCATTTTGTATGGCCTGCAAATGATGTTAAAAATATACAAATGGCCCTGGCAGAAAGAAGGTTTCCCACCTTTCTCTAGAGCCTCTGGAGAGAGCATGGCCTTGCTGACACACTAGTTATGGACTTACAGCCTCCAGAACTGTGAAATGATATATTTCTCTCATTTTTAAGTCACCCACTTTGTGGTATCTTATTATAGTAATATTTATTTAACCTTACAGTAAACTCAGACAATCCTTTTAACTTTTGCTCCCCTATCCTGACTAATTTGGAAACGATGTATTACATTAGGCAAATGTGCTGCACAAGACCTTTTTAAAGTGTTGAAGAGCAAAGATGTCAGCTTGAGGACTAAGGTGCACCTGACCCAAGCCATGGCATTTTCAATAACCTCATATGCATCCGAAAACTGAGAGTAAATAAGGAAGACCATAGAAAAATTGATGCTTTTGAGTTGTGGTGTTGGAGGAGAATATTGAAAGTGCCATGGGCTTCCAAAAGAACCAACAGATCTGTGTTGGAAGATGTGCAGCCAGTGTTCCTTGGAGGCCAAGATGGCCAAACTTCGTCTCTCATACTTGGAACATATTGTCAGGAGGGACCTGTCACTAGAGAAGCACATCATGTTTGGAAAGGTGGAGGGTCAGAGCAAAAGAGGAAGACCCCCAACAAGATGGATTAGCCAAGTGGCGGCATCAATGGACCCAAGCATGGCAACAATAGTGAGGTTGGCCCAGGATTGGGCAGTGTTTCATTCTGCTGTGCATAAGGTCACTATGAGTTGGAACCGACTCGATGGCACCTAACAACAACAACAAAATGTGATGGCTGGAACTGTGGTTGCCTTGGCAGGGCCAAAAGAAATGATTTTGCCAACCTTGTATGTCCCCCGGGCCAGACCTTCCCGACTCCTGCTTTAGAGGAAGATTCTTTCTTGCGTCTACATGTTTCTAAGAAACCTAGGTATTCCTTGGCTTGTGGCAGTATAACTCAGTGCTTACATGGCATTCTTCCCTCTGTGGATCTCTCTTTTCCTCTTGTCTTTTATAATGACACCACTCTGATGGTGTTAGGACCAACCCTACTTCAATGTGACCTCCCATTAAGCTAACTGAGAAAATCTTCAAAACCCCTATTTCCAAGCCACGTCATATTTACAGGACTTCAGCAGATGTTTGAGGGAGGTGGTTGGTGAGGGCACAATTAAATCTATAACTAAGCAGATGTGAGTATATGGGTCTCACTCTTTGCATCTGTTGATTCTTTTGTTCATGGACTTAGCAGAATCCACACTATAAGCGGTACCCTGGTGTGGCACTGTAGGATAAGCACTGGACTGCTAACCATAAATGTGGCAGTTCAAACCCACCAGCTGCTCCTTGGAAACCCTATACAGGGTCAATGAGTCGGAAGTGACTCCATGGTACTTAATGACCACAACAGTACAGGAACAAGCTTCTACCTCCTTAATATATGTCAGAGTTCTTTGGGCCAGTCAGACAATTTTATTCTTTTGTCATTTTAACCTGTTACCTCATTCCCTAGTTTTGGGTTGTTTTGTTTTGCAACCTGTTGTTGTTAATTGTTGTAAAGTCAGCTCTGATTCATAGGGATCATACATAGGGTTTCTGAGGATGTAGATCTTTGCAGGACCAGAAAACATCACCTTTCTCCAAAGGAGCTTCTGGTGGGCTCAAACTGCTGACTTTGTGATTCACAGTCCCATGCTTATCCTACAGAGTCTCCACATTCCCTATCCTAGTACTTGCCACCCTAACACTTGCCAAAACTGAACCCTACCTAGCCAAAGAAAGTGCCCAAATATTAATGGTGGTGTAGTGAGTTATCTATTGGACTGCTAACAACTGGGCTGGAAGTTTGAATCCACCATTTGCTTCTCACGAGAAAGATGAGCTTTCTGCTGCTTTAGATTTATATGCTCAGAAACCCCATACAGGGTCGCTATGAGTTGGAAACAACTCGACAGCACAAAACAGCAGTATCCAGCAACAGGACCTGAGACTTCATAAACCAGAAGGACTTGGATTTCTAACCCTACCATTGAAACTTGGGAAAGGATTCACTTATATATAGAGAGAGAGAGAGAGAGAAAAGTTTCTTTGAAAGTGCACTGATTTGTTATTACATGTCAAAGGGTATGGTATGTTTATTCCTTGGTCACCTGCTGTGAAAAATCCAATGTTAGATTGCATGTTTTCTCCTCTGCTTTCTAATTACAGCTATATTATCTTCTCCTTAGCCTTTCCCCCACCTCCAGGATTCACAGATATAAAGGTGCCCAAATGGGTACTTTGGAAAGGTTCTAAACAACCCTGAGGTTGTCAAACTGGCAGTTCAACACTGCAGTAAATGGTATTCCTATTGCCTGAAAAAGTCTAGGAAATACAAGTTTGTTTCTGATTACATAATTATACTACAGAATTATGGAAAAAAAATCACCACTAAACCCCTCCAGGTGCTTAAACAGTTTGATAGACTGTAGCCATTCTGCCTTCAGCACCCCCAGCTGTGTTGCTTAGCAACATTTTAATTCCAGAAGAATCGAAGGAGATGAAATCCCTGTGGAGAGGGAAACAGAAATAAGAGGGCTGTTGACAGATGATCTGCGTTGTTTCTTCTAATATACTGTGAAGATCACTAGCTCTTTTCATGAATGATAAATGGACTGTACACAGATCAATGGGTTCAGCAATAAACTGGAACCAGGCTCCATGGCAAAGGCGACGCAGGCCAAGAGGCCCAGAGACTTCCTGATTTTGAAGATCTGGTCTGTTTTCTTAAAGGTTTCATAGGAGGAAATTGATGTAGGGATTTGGTCAGCCCTTGCCCTTTTATGGTGTCGGCTAATAAAAATGATTTTGGAGATGGGCACTTTGGCGTTTCTATCCTTGTGCAGATACGATCAGGTGTCAGGTGCTCTGCCCCAAATCTGGTAGTCCAGGATAAGCCTGCAAGCCATTCCCTCTACAGCCACCTGCCCCCTCTAACATTACAGATCGATCAGGCACAAACAGGGGTAAGATAAGTTGAGGAGAGGAGGCCTGAGTAGTGGCCCTGACAGGTGCACTTGGACAAGTAGCCACATTCCCCAGGAGATGAAAATTGCTTTCTGAGTCTCTGTTCTGCTTTGGCTGCATCCTCGTGTTTCTGCACAACACTTTCTATGACCTATTGTTCTGATAACTAGTTGTCTAATTACTTGTTTCTTCTTCTTCTTTCTTCTGTTTACAGGCTGTTGAAAAAGCAAAGCCTAAGAATAATCCTGGAAAGTAAGTTTATTTTATTTTATTAGTTGAACATTTGTGCTTTAATGGACTCCCTGTATGCATGCAAAAAGGTAAAAAACAAAAGTTCATAAAAGAGACCTTGTGTTTTGAGTTTATGTCCATTCATAATTATTAAAAGAGAAAAAGAACAAAAAAACACAAAACACAAAACTCCAATGAGTAGGGACCAACTTTGATTTATCCCTGTGTCCCTTATGAGGAACTGCCCCCAAGTTATACCCAGTTTACCTAAATTAATGTTCACTACCCATGTATAGTTGCCAAATACTATTAGAATCATATTCAATGCCTAGGACTTTCAGCCATTGGATTGTGCACACAGTAAAAAGATTACTGTTTTTCATTGCAAACCTTGGGCCTATGACAGAGACATAAATGGCTGAAAGGGTGCCAAGTGATTTTAAGCCATGTGGGGAAGTTTGGTACCTCGGCATCAAGAACTGACTGCTTATGTTAATGAAAAGCTCATAAAACTATGTTTAACTAAAGGTTTTTCTAGTTCTCAGAAAGCTATTTCCTAGGCATTTTATGGGACACTATTAAATATGGACTTTCTGTCACTTCTAGAAGAGAGGCTTGCAAATGAAGGATGTCTGCCTTGCCACTTGAGGTTGTGACGTCTCACTACAGTGTCATCAGTCCAGCCAGCCATGTGGCTCTAGTTACTGGATTGGTACTGGCCTGATTATAGTTGGCAGCTAACCAAAAGATCTGCAGTTCGAATCCACTAGCTACTCCGTGACAGAGAGATGTGGCAGTCTGCTTCTATTTAGATCACAGTCTTGGGAAATTCTATGGGGTAGTTTTACTCTGTTCTGTGGTGTCGCTATGAGTCCGAATCTACTTGATGGCAATAGAAGGAACTATAGTCGTTCATGGCAGCTGACTTCCATTGCAGTTGGTACCAAGTATGAGGAGGCTTCACAAAGTTCTTGGACACAATGGAACTCAAGGATAATGGAATTTTTCCATGCACTTTGTGAAGTCCCCTCATCTTTAGAGGGGTTGGGGCACATTCATTTTTAATGGTTTCTGGGAGAAGGTGTCAAGTTAATGCCAAAGGCAGGAAGACCATTTGTGAACAAATTACCTTTGCCAAGACACCAAGGTAGTGTTTGGCCTGCCATTAAATCCAAACCCTCATTCAATATTCCAAAAGGTTTAGTGTCTTCTTTGGATAGCTTTATTGTTCCTAGGCCATTAGCTATTCTTATCAGGGTTCTGTGGGCCTCTGGAGGAATGGCCCTGGAATGTAGTAAGGAATGGTGGTGCTGTTGGGGAGGGGGGGGTGGAAATTGTCTCTGCAGCCTGATTTCTTTGCCGACTGTCCTAAAGGAAATTCTCTCTTGCAGCCTGTGGCCAGCGCTCCATGGATTAGAGGATGGTGCTAGTGAGGCAAAGGCCCAGCTGCAGTCCCTGGATGGGCCATTAGTGACCTTTGATACTCAGTCCCGGGACTCCCTTTCCTCTAGTCAGCCTGCATGTAGAGGTCTATCTGCCCTAGGTCACAATGAGCAGGACAGGGCCCTCGAAGGTGTGGAGATACACTTGAGCACAGGACAGTTTATCACCCTAAATTTTAGTCTTCTGGCTTGCACACTAGGCCAGTGTTCTCTTTGCTTCTGACGATGATTCAAACCAGCCAATAATTATATTTTTGAGTTCTTGTGAATTCACAATGCCAACTCTGTATAATGTCTAGAAATTAAAGAAATGGTATAGAGACAAATCAGGAAAACTGGAAGACGCAAAGGATTCATAATAGAATATAGAACTTTTGGAGTCCTAGTGTGGCACTGTAGGATAATGCGAGGTCCATTTGAATGGCACAGTTAGTGGTTCAAACTCACCAGCCACTCCTCAGAAATCCTATACAGGGTCACTATGAGTCGGAACCGACTCGATGGCACTTAACTACAACAATAAAGCTTTTGGTTTTAAAAGATACTTGAAAATCTGCTTACTAACGTACCAAAGTGCTTATGAGTTTGCATTGTCTTCTAATTAAACCCTGGGTTTGGGTGTCCTGTTGTGTTTGAGCTCATGATATCAAACTCACTTGCCCAGGGCAACCATATGGCCTCTTTTCGAAGAGAGGCCTTCTTAAGACCTAAGTTCAGAAGTAGAAACTCTAAAACTTGGTTCAATTCTGACTGACAACTGAACAGAAGTGGATTTTTTTGAAGTTTTATATACATAATGGTACATTTTCAATTCTGATGTCTGCCAAAGAATTTCAATTACACACTGGATATAGACTAAGGGTCCCATACATGTTTTCTAAGGAGCTCTGGTAGCGTAGTGGTTACGAACTGGGCTGCTAACCTCAAGGTCAGCAGTTTGAAACTACCAGCTGTTCCGCGGGAGAAAGATGAGGCTCTCTGCTCCAGTAAAGATTTGCAGTCTCGGAAACCCTGTGCAGGGTCATTATGAGTCGGAACCGACTCCCTGGTACTGAACAACAACATGTTTTCTGAATCAATGTCCAAGAAAACCAGTTGAACACATCCCAGAAATCAATTCTTCTAGAGCCTGCCCTGGAGACTCAATTAGGTTGATGGCTTCACCATCAAATCACAAAGGTGGGTATGTTGAAACTGACTAAGTCATCCAGTCTCTATTGTCTTTGACTCACACCACATTTAAAATGTTCCCACCTTTCTCTGCTTCATTCTTTCGGCTTTGCCTGTGACCAATTACTGGTTTGATCTTCTGGGCAAGGATTCACATGAGAGATTTTTTGAGCATACAAGGAGATTTCAAAAAGTTTGTGGGAAAATGGCAGTATCTGTGAATTCCATTTTTTGCAAACTTTTAAAGCCCCTTGGTACAACACAAAGTGTGTACAGTGTTGCTGGAAATGAAGAAATTTGGTGGCGTCCTTTTTTCAGAAGTTTGAACACAATTGGTGAAGATGAGCAGCTGTGTGACATGGTGGCAAAGTCCAGCCCACAGGCTGAATCCACCCACTGTTAAATAGTGGGGAAAAGGAAGAAGAGGACTCAAAAGATAAAAGCTACTCTATGGTAGATGAAATTTTTATGCACTTCAAATATCAGTGCCCGTAAATAAAGGTTTACTGGAACACTGTCATGCTCATTCATTTTGTGCTACAATAGCAGTGCTGAGTTTCTACACCAGAGACCTAATGGACTGCAAGGCAGGAAACATGAAATGTTTGGTCCTTTCTAGAAAAAGTTTGCTGAGCAGTGCTCTAGTTGGTCAGGTTGGTAAAGCCACAGATGAAAGCTTTTTCGTGAGAGCTGAAGGTTAAAACATCAGTCCTCTCTTCTGGTCTTTAAAAAGAGTGAATATTTTCTGAACCCTTTTCATGTGATCAGGTCTTTTTTGGCTAAGGTCCTTCTTGATTCTCACCCAGCACAAAGAGGCTCACTCTTAACGACTTTTGTAAATCCATTGATAAGAAATGGTACCTCAGAAATCACCTGACTCTGATTCTGTGGTTGTTGCATCAACAGCCAACACATATCTAGAAACTTCTGCTGGTCCTTCCAGTTATGTATGAATGGCTATATTTCCAAGGGCATATGTATTTGCTAAAATTCTGTTCCTTCCCAACATCTACCAAAGACTAAATCATCTTTGAAATAGGGTGACAGTTAATGAATCACAATACCAACTCAGTTTGTCTGTTTTCCTCTCTGAATATTTATTCGTCTGCCTCTCTTCTCTTCTTATCCACTTGTTCACTTTACTTTTAATGCCTTCATAGTTGTAAGCGTCTTTCATCACCATGGCATTCATTAATTATACGCCATAAAGACAACATGAAGTATATGTTTAGTGAATTTAAGGAGGCAGTGTGTCTGGATACACTAATGACTTTGCCCTGAAACATTATCTATTATCGCTGAGGATAACAATCAAAATGGAAAGGTCTTAAGATCAGTGATTGGGATAATAGATGCCTGGTGTAGTTCTCAGTATAGAGGAACCAGACAAAAGCTCGATTTGAATGTGAAGACTCTGGTTCTTTAATGCATCAAAGAGACTTTCCCTTGTATGTTAATATGTCATAGGGACCATCTCCAAGCTTTCATTGTGACAAGAAGGCCTGAGACATGTATAGATTTCTCCTACCATATGTGACTTATCACAGACATTAAAAAAAAAAAAAACATACAACACATTTCTGTTATTAAGACATATGTGATGGTACACTTCTGTAAATGTGAATGGCTTTTGGCTAAAAGCCATGTGCTAATAAGTTGACTTGAATTTAACTGAGGTTGACATCTGTTACCAAAAGAGGGAGAGAAAGAGAGAAACAAAGCACAGTTGCCATACTTCGCATGCTACCTTGCTTTTTCCACGTTGACAAGACAGTTGTTGTCTTTCACAATCCAGTATTAGGAGCCACTGTGCTTAGGAAATTACAGCTTTATTTACGAACTGATCCATGTCATAGATACTGTTGTTTCATTATTGAAAAGTGACAAATAGCCACAAATATTTCCCTGACTGTGATGTTGGTGCATTATTCATTTATTCATCTGATGAATATTTATAGAGGATCTACAGTATTCTGGGAACTGTGATCAATGCTGAAGCAATTAAAAATAAATCTGACACAGGTCTTACCCTCGAGAAGTTTAGAGTCCATGAGGAAAGATAGAATCAGTTCCTAAATAACAAAATACAAGATAGGGAGTGATGTATTTTTTAAGTGGGGGTGCAGATAAAGTCTAGAGGAAGCTCTGAGGAATAAATGTGCTCCAACCAGCTCTATCGGGGCAGGTGGGGAGGGGGAGGAGGCATTTGCACCCCGACTATAAAGACTGTTGATGTGGATCATTGGTGCCAAGGTGAAGGGGGAAATGAGGCGCCCAGGCTGCCTGGTCATGGAAACCAGGACGGAGAATCAGCGGTGACTCAGGGTTTCCAGGGGCCATCCAGAGGAAGGCGATGGCCTTGGTCGAGTCAAACAGTATTGAAGAGCTCCAGCTTTTGACTGAACGTGA